ACAGCTTACTGTTGGGCAGACGCATAAGTTTATCTGCCGGTAACCGGACCTCAAAGGTAACGGGATTACACGTGCCCTTGTGAGAAAGGGCGGGTCGCGCAAGATTGTGCGACCGTAAATAGGTGTGGATTATACATTTAGTGTAATAACACAGTGGTGTGGCTACACCGTAATAAGAAGCCACCATGTGGCAGGATTGACAGTAGTAATGCATATTACTATATTAACTAGAAACTACTATATCAATTAGGAAGTGGGGATTTAGATATTGGCGGCTCTGCCGCAACTAAAACAATCAAACACAGTTTTGTTTGAAGCGTCCTTTTGCCATGGTAATGCTTCAGAACTTAGCAGTAGTGGATTGCGATCTGCTACCCATGTACTGGTTCTTGGAATGAATGTAAGGTCGGTGATCTTAGCTTAGCTTCCACTAAGCAAAGAGCTGCGGTAGACTCGGCATAGAAGGATAGCCACCATGATGTCATTATCAGCGAGAGCTTAGTGGTGCTGTCGCTGTGGGCAACGACGCATAATTGATTTAAATCACGTATGGTCTGAAGGCAAGCAGGAGTATTCTGCACCTGACAGGAGCATATTTTATATGCAGCTGAGCTGGCGTAGCTAGAAGCTAAGCTAAGATCATCGACCTTACGTTCAATACTAGAACCAGTATGAGTGTAGCGGATAGCAATGCGCTTCCTCCAAGAGTACCTCAAACCTTAACCCAAGGGGAATGCACTTCTCCGTTAGAAATCCAAACTGTATTTCTTTTGTTTTATTCGCGGCAAAGCCGCCTATATCTTAATCTATAGGTTTTCCTAATTAGATTGTAAAATCTAATAAAAATGCAGAACTACTGGCATTCACGTCTTGTTAAGGTGTAGCCACAACATTGTGTGTTCACACCATCTTGTGTGGCCCACCCCTTCAAACCAGGGTACGTATATCCACGTTACATTATATTGTTAACTCAATGTCGTAAACTTAACAATTCTTTTTTTCTATCGCTTTAACCTAGCGGGACGTAAATGCAGCCACGCGAACATGCTCATCGGCTACTTGGAGTGAGCTAAAATTTAAGCAAAGGCTGTAACGTCACACACGGAATCCAATTGTCTATCTGAATTTGAATGAGTTGGAATCAAGGATTCCATGAAGTTTTCTCTCACAGCTTTGAGAACTGCCTCTTTAGCTGCGCATCAGCGACAATTAAATTCTTGCTTTCTTAAGACTGTTAAGGGGTCATGTCATGGCAACATAAATTGCACTGTACTTGTGCAAGTAAATGGCCAGGCCACTTTGAAAGTTCCTTAAATAAAGAGGCGCAGGTGTATCAACGCTGACCTTGATCTTCGCTGGATCTCCTTAGAGGTCATGCTTTCAATTAGGCAGCTTAGTAAGCCAATCTCGTCGGCGGCTAAGCCACATTTGTCAAAACTGTCGAACAGCTATCAAAGTGCATACAATCGAGCACTACTCGCAAGTGTCCCATGTGGTTGTCCACGCCCGACCTCCGCGCTCTGCACGACAACGGACGAGCACATCGTCGAAATAAGATTGTGCATCGTCATGATGTGGCCTGAACAGCTGTGACACCAGGCGATTGAGCATAGTTTGGGTGTTTGATAGTCCCTGTGACAAAAACCAACCAATTATGGGAGAAACATCGCGATCTCTCCTAAGTAGTTGAGGCTAATCATCAATTATATCAAGGGCATTGGACAGAGTGCATCTTGGAACCGTCTTTGCACTGATATCGTGGCAGGGGCAGCGAAAGTATTTACAATTTGTCACTTACCGTTACCCTTGCTGACGCATGATGTCGGCGTTGAGAGTTTTAATCGTTCTCTCACCAAACTTGCATTGTAATTTGCACATCAATGACGTCATATTGTTTCCTTGGTAATAACCGATACTGTGTGACAAAATCGATTAGGCCTCACGATATCTTTCCGATTCGAATGCAACAAGCATGTTTGATCTTTTTGTCTATTCTGGTACTATTTTGACAAACGACTCGGAGGATCCTTGAAAACAACTGACTCACTTCTCGCACCCAATTACGCAAGTACAGACTGATCCATGGCAAAAGACGAGCACAGCTCACCGTCGGTATTCATCGTCTGCAACCCCTAGAGTATATTCTTAGAGCTCAGTTGGAGCTCAAAGTTTCCGGCAACTCCATTTGAAAGTGCATTATCTGTTTCGCCACTATATCCGTAAATATCTACTACTCCATTTCGGCGAGCGAATCACACAGTACTGCTAATTTAGCGTACCGTTACATCGTGACAAAGATGAGTTGTACTAACAAGGCCTCTAGGGGCCAAAATAGTATCATGCTATATACAGCTGATATTTCATCCGACAAAGGATAGGGCGAAACGCAGTCACTTTTACTTTTCACTGGTTCTGACACACAAGACACCAGATAACAGCAGTGCTTAAGATTTCTACCCGAGATGCCCTTCGGGGCCCATGACTTCTAGCCGTGTCTCAGCAGATACATACTCTAGCGATCGCAATACACGATCGATTGGTGGTCCTCATCGTGACACTTCGGCTGACTATCGCTTCTGCTTTCCAAAAATGTTCTAGACACTGCCAATATATATGCAAGACAATTCGGACAATGCAATGTCCTGCAACAAAGGACGCGCTATAGCTACTATAGCGCTTCTACTTTTTGGGAGAGGCGCGCTCATGACATATCAGAGCTTTACCAGGAGAGAAGTTCTCCAAGCCTAAAATCAATATGTTGTTCATAGGGTTCATGCCACGCCATCCCTAGACCGAATTCACACTTCGAATCCAAGTCTAGGATGAGACAACGCCCAAAGCTGTCAAACGTCTAACAATCACATAAGTTTAACAGTAGTTTATGACATGTCCTCGTTGCAAAACGCATGAACTCTGTATCCATATTTAATATAGCAAATATCTTCGCGTAATGCCGACTGTTTTGGTAGTTGCGCATTGTTCAAAATTGAGCGACGCTGCTGAATTCATCGGGACGATATGAAGTCTTACAGAGCCGAGACATCGATGTTGCCTTCCAACAATTCAGGAGTGTAAACCTCACCCCCCCTTCGATGATTTCACTCTCTTTGGGGCCAAGTCCCATTGATGTCAATCACAGTATAGCTCATTCATGTTCTAGTAGGCGCAGAATGGCCTACTGGTACTCGCCGTTTCCACATGAAAGGCTTGTCGGATCGTTCGTGGAAGCTCGACTCTTCACACCATTCGGTAGAGAGAGTAGGGGCACGCAATACGCAGATGTTGTGTACTCCCAGAGATAAACTATCTGCGTATAATTTAAAGCTGCAAGACGGCCAGATGGCCTCACTTTTCTGGCTCAGCATAACTTAACTCGATCGCCTCTAGCACGCTTAGAAAGCTTCTGCTTCTGATACTTCAGCTGACCCTCGTGGCGCGAAATTTACTCCGCATTTATTGCGACATTTATCACCATTGTAAACGGGACGAATGGGTGGTCGTGGCTTTGACGCGATATACGTCCGCTCACGGAAGCCCTTGATGATATGGCAATTGTGACCGTCCCTAGCAGAAGCTTTGTTAGCTTTGTAATGATAAGTATTTGCAATTTCTGGACATAACCCAACATTTTCCGCCTTATTTCGGCGGGTGAGGAAAAATTTAGAACGAACCAGATACTCCTATTCAGACAAAGCGAGCATTCGCTTCAGATTTTCCCAGCTCGGGAATGTCTCTATCACAGTGGACCTCACGTTGATGACCATATTGTTGCGGGCAACCTCTTAGCTCGAAGGCCTTTAGCGCAATGCGCTGTCGCTTGGTCTAGGGCGTGGCCAAAGTCACGGCCATTTCAGCTTTTCACCTCGCGAAAAATCTCCGCCAAAGGACTGAATTCTCAATATTGGTAGCAGGGCCATTTTGCCTCCCACAGACACCAGATTGGAGGGTTTCTGGATGGGTCTCACCGTGCATTCTCATAACCGATCGTGTTCTTTAGACGGGCAACTTTTGCTTTTGGCCACTAAACCGCCCGTTCACTGTCCCCTTTTAGACTAATGGCTTACACGAGCTTTACTAGCCTGTTGAGATACTTCAAGACAGATATTTATCAGTTCAAGTTCTGTTCAGACCGATACTTCTGTCCTTTTTCACAACTCAAACGTCAGATTGACTTCAAGTGATGTTATTACAATAGAGTCACCGTGGGCCTTGCACAAGTGAAGCTTTGATTCAAGAATCCACGTATGCAACGCAAAGATACTGGGCCCTTACGCTCAACACTGGAGAGCGATTTTTAATTTATCTAGGATAATTAAATACTAAGATTGTTTTACTAGCTCTAGAAAGCCATGAATTGCTGATTAATTTTAACCTGACAAGCATTTTATACATTTGATTCACCGTATCCTATATACGGTTTGTTGTTTCTTGACCAGAAGACATGATCCCAAGTGTACCAAGGATTTTTCCATCACGGAATATACGGCGTCAGTAGTACTGACACCTTGATACTTCTACGTATTTACCTTCATACAAAAATGTAAAAAGGTATGAGCTTCATACAATTAATTAATATTCGAGTAGTAGTAGAGTACATACCCCTTTACAGCACCCATGCCATGCGTACATGAAAGCAGATGAGACTACATGTGGCAGTCATCAAACAGATATTCTAATGGGGTTTGAGCTCGAGATAAGAAGACGAAATCTAATTTACCAGCATCAATCACTTCGTTGCCAGTAGATACCCAGCTCAACACTACCAACAAGTCTTTAGCTTTGACGTTATAAGCATCGCGATGTTCAATACCATCCTAAGAGACGAAAACTACATTTCTATATAAGATTGTTACTCAAATAGAACTGACACAGGCTGGGTCGTGTTGATTTAAAGTCTGAATAGGTTGCACGACGTGAAATCCCCGAATCGAATGTCGCGGGTATGTACTCTTGATGTGGTGGTCAAATTTCAACGTTCTGGAGTATATTAAAGGTCCAGCTTACTCCAGTAGACTTGGTGATGCCTGGAATGAAGATACTCCACGGTTTTTGTCAAGTGAAGTCTGCACAGTCGCGCGTAGCTACAAACGATGCCACACAATTCTGAAAACCTACTGGAAGTAGCCTGATGAGTTACCTGGTAATGCTAGACGATACCTGCTTGCAGCTGATGGCTGTAAGAAAACCGTTTGCAGAAGCTGCGCGCATACTCATATTTCCGGGAAGCCTACAACAATAATATGATGGGATGCTGGAAAAATTGAAACCCATGGCAACCTTCTGCTGCTTTAGTAATAGTTGTTCCAGCGTGAGCCTGGCACATTGCAGGAGCAAGATTAACACGAGAGCGTATTTCAAACGACAATCCAACATTGTGGCATATATAACTGCCATGACCGGAATTTCAGAAAAATGGTCGCGTAGGCCGCAATTATGGTAGTAGTCATAATCGTTAAAGTGGGTGTAACGGACGTATAACGATTAAAACACGCAAAATCTATAGCAAATACAATAATGTTTCTCAACCGGCCAGAGGTGCGCTCATTGTCCACACGTCTCGACTGTGGCAGCAATAAATTTTATTCTATGCAGTACAAATGTTGCTGAATAGTGAATCGTCGACTCACATGACTGATGCGGATGGTTTACGTCATTCAAAAAACGTTTAGATCTTTGTCGATTTTAGATGCAAATAGTGATGGGCTGGAAAGGGCAAAATACCGTTTGTCCCAGATTACCTAGGAGCTTATCAAAAGGAACTTCAACTCACCAAAATACTTGTTGATTGAGTTTGATGTATCTTGAAGGCACATATTCTTGCGAGACGACCGTCATGTTGCTAAAGACCTTGCAATATTCGACCAGCTAATTCAACCAATGATGATTGGTATTGGGTTGTCATTCCAATATTCTCCCTTTATTATGACAGAGCCTATTTTCATTATTATGCACCACCTTTGTGTTGATACAAAGGATACTTTGTTGGGATCTTGCACTCTCAAACAGTGATGATCTGAGCGATGTGGTACTATGCTATTCGCATTGTAAAGACGTTTTGCACTTCATCAAACAGATAAACAAATGTTCTTGTTGTGGCAGGTAACGACACGATGTAGAGTCTACATATAGATTGCTTCGTCTTCTCATGAGAAATGATGATCTGCTTGACATGCCTCGACGTTAGTTTCTGAAACGAAGTATGAAAATTCTTCGCCTATTTTTAAGAGCACCATAATAAGCACTTCTTCCAGAGGTTTGTCAAGTGCTTGCAAGGGACTCAGTTCGCGTTCGAAATACATCCAGAAAGTGTTGACACATCGGTATCTACCACAGCGCCACCTTTAGATTTTTGTCGCTCTACTCCATATTGATCCCTACGGATACCTGTCTGCCTATCAGAGGTGAAATCTGACTGGCCAATGCTCTATGAAAGGTTGAGGGGCAGATGATACCAAATGTTTTCTTTGCACCAATATCTCGAAGGCTCCTTGCTCAAACGTCATGAGGCCAAAGAAGATTGGATGATTTATGCAGCACTAACGGATGCTTATGTGATCAACGTGCATGAGTTTCGAATGCAAAGATCAATAGTTTTGATCCGAAGATAGGCAGTCACGTCTTGAGCCCAAGCATGCTGTGCCCTGAGAGAAATTACGCAAACCTGTCGCATCTCCAAGCGACCGATTGTGAACGCACAGAGATGTTAAGACATCAAGCATAATAGGCCCGTACACTTGCGTATATCACGAGTGGTTCTTCGGCATAGCGTGAAGTGATTTTGTACCATCGGTATGTGACTTCTGCACTTTCTTGATAGGAAATCCAATCTCCACTAGTAGACTAATGATGAGATGAGAAAATTTCGGGCCAAGGTCTTTTCACTGACCCTTACTTGACAATGTACATATATTTTTGCTTGTGCCCAGCGGCACGAATCGTGTTTCTCGAACTGCCGTAGACGAAGCAACGAATATAGCCTTACTTCGACACACTTCGGCTCATCGACGCAGGACTGGCAGCAGCTCCGTCGCTGTTGCTGGGATCATCACCGTTAAAAGTATGTCCCTTCCCGCTCTTGATTAAAGTTGAAGCCTGCCCGTGGTTGTATGCTTTGTATCGCCTGTTTCAATTGTCGAGGCATGCACCAGTAAGCGCTGGGTGCAAGATAAACTTTTCTTCAGGCCGTCAATGAACACTACCGCCTACAACATTTTGAAATAAGATGCATCATATCAGATACGCGGTAACATGCGCATCTTGCGAATGTAATTATTCAATCATCTCTTTACTTGCAAAGTTAAAATAGTACGAAGACCACATCGCATCTAACGTATACGCATAATATTTATTGGCTTACTCATACAGCAACCTCGAGTCGATCATACGTGAAGAGAGTGCCATCATGGCTAGATCTGGTCCAAGGATCAAGAAATCGTGATTCCAACCCACTCTTTGCACTGTGTCTCTCTAGGACTGAATGTACTGAACCTGGGAGAGCCCTGAACTGAGCGTATCAGCTCATGTTGACGTCTCTACCCGATCAACTTTGAGAACTGGCCTCGATGCCACAAACCTTTCACGTGCCTTAACCCTGAAAGATGCTCGTCAAATTCAGAGCGAGCACATACTTAGAGTCGTTCAGTGGAAAATCATCACCTTAATCAATCTTGACTCCATTTAATCCCCCAATCGCGAAAACAAACTATAGACTTTCAAGTGCTATCAGATATAGAAGATCTTTTAACAGCATCTTGCATGATGGAGCGAAGGCGAGTACTTGGGCTCCCAAAGAGCGGCAGCCCAATGTGTCTGGCTTTAGTAACCATTTATTGAATACAAGATAAATTAAAGAATATTATTTGTGCTACTCTCTCCTTTGTCCTGCAGCACAATTTTAAGCATAACACTCATAGCTAGCTCAAACTCAGGCGTCACCACAAGGATTCTAAAGCAACACTAACGCTTGAACTGTCATGAAATACACATATGTGCCCATATACTTGGGCATGTGGCGCCTAATTGTAAACTTGCTCTTGTGGATATACACAGTATATAACATATATGATGACAAAGATCGACAGTAAAAAGGGCTGATTTGTCATTGTGAGGACAAAGTGTGTATTAGACTTTAGATATGCTGTGACTCCATGTAGAAATTGTGTCATCAGCGCCTATATTTGTTGCTATTTGAGAGCCGTTGCACCAATTGTAACCCAATTAACTAGCAAATGCACATGTTGACACGCGCCTTTGCTCAGCCAATCGGAGGGAAAAACGATTTAGCATTGTCTGCCTAAAAAATCGTGTTTGCGCCGCCCAAAATACATCAGCATGTGACATCGCTGATTTGTTGCCTTAATGGACTTATCAATACAGCTGTTGCTAGCGCGCAAACCTTCTAAAGATGCCGATGACAGTTACTTGGATAGTATATGCGTGGCTGGGGTCGATCATGGAAACATACCATCCGTTAAAATATGCTGGCTAAACGTGTCTAAACTAAAGCGATATTTGCCCTTTACGGGGAAATGTAGATATTAGAAACCGCTTCCCGAGCTAGGAGGAAGTAACTTCCGGGGGTTCTTGATCAATTTGCGATTCCAATTCTCACAATTGCAAGAGTCAGAGAACTGTCACCATTATCGACAATTCCCAACAGAGAAAATCCCACGGAAAATGACAAACGGGGACGCTGAAATCGTCTTGTTTTTAAGAAGCTGTAACAAAATTGCCGTGCATTTGGGATAGAGGAATTTAGTTATAGGCTCCGCGTTTAAACGCCCAGAGGCTGGAATTGAACGCTCCATCCAGAAACGAAACCAAGATCATCTCAACTTATTTAATTGAGGTATATTAAGGATCGAGTGTAATACTGAATATGAACCTGTTTTTATTGTGTTCGCTGACAAGCAATGTGTATTGTGTAACGTTAGGAATTCAGCCCACATGTCAAACAGGCCTCCCTTTTACCCATCGCCCCATCAGTCAGGACTTTGGTACCTCTGCGTTGTGCCCGACTACACGTACGTACACATCAGTATTGTGTGTATCCCGTTACAAAAGTGGTCGCATGGAAAGAATGATAGAAGTAACTTATTATGTTGAGCGTGCTATCAAAGTAGGAAAATACGTTAAATCCTTCAAATTGGTGTACTGCCCATATATCAAGTTTGATTCTTAATACGATACTCATATACCGGTAAATGGAAGTACATGTTTAGAGTACTATTTTTCTTCAATTAGTTTTGATCCCTTTGTCTGGGTCATGGCGACTGACATGAGTGCGAGCGCCATCGGTGGCGTAAGTGCAGGTACCGGTGACCTGGCCGCAGGGAACAGTGGTCGACCCGAAAATGCGTACGAAAAGCTTTCACGAGAAGTTCACCAGATGCAGATCACAGGTGCCATCCACACTGATTGGCTAGAAAACCCCAAAGGCTTTTTACTGAAACCTGACTTTAAGCGTAAAGCGCAACATGTGGGAGCTGGTGGCAAGAAACTTAATAGCTCACGGGTCTTAAGACTGCATCTACCGGGTAATTCATACAGAGTTCGATGGTTTGTGCTTGATGGAATGATATTACGATACTTTAAAACAAGCACAGAAGAACAGGAGCTCGGCGCAATTCACTTGACATCCGTCAATGCAGTGTTGCCTTCCAGTGTAGCAGACGCTCCCGAACATGCTCTTGATTTGGTAAGGTAAAGTTACAGATTAATGTCCCGATTTCCGAAGGATTTTGCTAATTACTTTAGAGATTAGTTCTGATATTTCGATATGGTTCACAGGTGTGTGCGGATCGAATCTATACTGTAGCGGGAAATGATCGAGAGGATATGGTTCGGTGGGCAACAGTGTTGACATTGGTGTTGCGTGGAGAGTACAAGCCAAAGCTTATGCTGAGACCAGAGTCGTCCATTATTCGAGGAAGTTCAATGATTCCACGACCGAGTGCAGTGGCCAGAAAGACAGCTTTGACGCAAGCATCGAGGTTCACAGATGCTAATGGTATGCGTATGACGGGCACTTTGATAGGTGATGGAGACTCAAAGAACCAGGGAGATGACGATGTGAAAGAAAAAATTATCACAGTCACATTTGATCAGCCAGGGCCGTTGCATTTGATTTTGAGAGGCACAGTGGATGACGAGGTTATGGTGTGCGGCTTTCAAGACGGCTCTGGATCTAATGAACTTGGACCAGCTGAAGCCTCTGGTGTCATTCGCGTTGGTGATCATTTGATTTCAATTAACAATCACTACTTTACGAACATTGAATTTCAGCAAGCAGTTGATCTGATTCGAGCTGCTGGTCGGCCACTCACGTTGCGATTTTCGCGAGTTGACTTTCAAACGGCGTCTAGTGCAGACACTAGTCGCGTTGCAGAAGGTTGGGTACTTTCAAAAGAGCCGTCGGCACATCGATATCGGATTCGTATGCTGCAACTACAGGATGACAAGGTCAAGTTATACAAGCCAAGTATGCAGGGCGGACGTGTCGATGAACCGTGTTTAGTCATTCGTATGGAGCAAGTTACAGATATTCGTCCAACTAACGATATGCGCGAAGTGGTGACGGCATGTACGCAGTGCCATCCAAAGCAGTGGGGTGTAACGCTTGAAGGATCCCAAAGTATCTTCACTTTTTATACCAAAAACCGAGACGATATGGCGCAGTGGGTTGATTTGCTTAAAAATTCGCCATTGTTTTCACAGAAATCAACGAGATTGTCCATTCCGGTACACCCCGTTGCTGTTGTGGAGTTTGATCCTGTACTCGAGCCTAAAGTGGTCTTACAGGATGATGTCGGAAAGGTGGGCGACTTGCTGCCAACGTTTTCGCGCCTTCGCTTTCTATTGCTTGAAGACGGCAAGATGATGTATTACGTGAATGAGAAATCAGCTGCTACTCGCACGCGTCCGATTGGAACTATACGCTGCGACAATATTGTTAGCATTGTGCCAAGTCAAGTAACTGAACATACTTCACAAAAAAGTGCCCCGACATCCAAAATTCCATCAAATGAAGAATTGACAGAGAAAATGATGCCATGGCGTCTCGAGCTTGGCATCCTTGTTCAAACCTCATCGCAAAAATATCGTCGTCCGTTCGTCATGTGTTTTAGTACGCAAGAAAAAATGATGAAATGGGGAGTATCAATTAGCAAAGAGGCCAAACGCTTGACTGGGCAAGAGTATGATCTGTCGTCGATCAGTCGCCGTGCTTCTCGAAGTAATAGCCAAACATTCGCATCCCGTCAATATGAGACGCCAATGACTCGTCCAACGATTTCGCGATTAATATTAAACCCAGCCAAGTATACTGATCCCAATGTGCTTGAGTCATCGCGTCTGTATCGAAGTTTAAAGGATGTTACGCTTAAGGCCGCTACACGTGGGTGGTTTTTTGTGAAGAAGCCGCGCAGTGTGGGTTTGAGTGCGTATCATCCGCGATTTCTTGTGCTGATCGATAATCAGCTGATGTTCTTCAAATATGAGGTACTTGAGGAAGAAAGCTTACATTCCTATGCTAGCATGCTGGATCTTCGCAATGTCAAAGATGTGAGGGAAGCTGAGTCTGGCTTTCAAGAAAATCTTGACTTTTCTATTCAATTGAGCACAGCAAACGGCATTCTTTGGATGGTACGAGGCTGCACATAATAGCTTTAATTGTCAGCTGACAAGTGGTCTTTGATTGATTGTTTATTTAGTTGGTAGCTGAAAGTTATGAGCAGAAAGAAGCTTGGTTGTCAGCTTTGATTTGGCTATCCGACTACTACTACCGAGCATCTGACAACGATGACGATAACACTACAGCCATGGGTGATGCAAAGCGGATTGCGCAAAACACTACTGGAATCATGGTAACGATCCCCGAGTTTGAAAGACCCGACGCCATTAGTAGCCAGGATGTCGAATCAAAGGAAGCGGATCGATTTGCGGCGGCAGGACTTACCAAAGATCGGATGTCAATCACAAATTTTGGCGCCATGCTTTCAGATGATTTCACGGGTATCGGTGGCGAGATTCAAATTGCTGGTAAAAGAGTCTACGCTGCAATTTCCAGTGGTGTCTTCCGTTACTACGAATCGCAAAGCGATTTTGAAAGCGAGTGGGGAGACGCCATAGATGCTATCTCTCTTAAAGAGATCGAAGAGGTGCATTCGGAAGGCCTGGACTTAGGCAGCTTTGTGGTCAAAGTACATGGTGAAAAGGAAGTGCGAATGATTGCAGAAAATGCCAAGTTAGCAAAGCGCTGGATGCTGGTCATGTGCTGCTGTGGCGACCTAGTGCTGAAAAAGGCTCCGCATGCCGATTACTACGCCAGCACCAAGCCAAAGGAGGCGTGGATTTGGAAGCTCGATCGATTATACCAAATTTTTCGTCGTCGCTATTTCTCCTTGCGTAACCACCAAATAGTCTTCTTTACGGAACAGGGAGGTCGTATGCTTGGTGTGATATCGCTGCCTTGCATATTTCACCTTCAAATGTCAAAAGTATGGACGCGCAGTAAGGACGAAGCAGATTTTTACCAGCTTGAAGTCAGTTTTGCTGTCCCAACAATGGCAGAGGAAAGCTCGCGCACGGATCAGATTGGTGATTTTTACGCTTTTCTTTTGGCTTTTGATACTGAAGATCAGCTAAAAGAATGGGCAAACGCGATTTACGACTGCTGCACGAACTCGATGTCGCTGAAAGGTAACGCGACTCTGACACCTCTGGGCGAAATTCAAGTGCTTCCAAAAGAGTTGCTGAAGACCTCGACCTTTGATCATAGCGATGACGACTTTTTCAAAACGACTGTGCTTCCAACCAGTTCAACAGTCCCTCGGTCTGTTCCCAAGACAACCGTGTCAGCAAATGGGTTCAGCTCAAGTGGTTGGCTGTATTACCGCACGTCCAAGGAAGAGCGCATACGGTTGCGCTATTTTATGCAGTGGGGCTATGAATTGTCAATTTTTAAACATGAAGTGCTGGCAGATGAGGTGACTTCAATCCGCTACGGTGTCATCGATTGCCGTGCGCTAGTAGATGTGCGCTTTGCGTACATTAATTCACCGGAAAATGCCGTAGAGTTAATTCTTGGGTCTAAGACGAGTGTGATGATTATCCCTCGTACAGATCAGGAAGCTGTTATGTGGCGCAACTCGCTGCTCGATGTGAAACGCGCCTATGGCACATTGGAGTCTGGGAAAAACAAGGAGGACGCATTTGGCTCAGGCGTCTTCATTAGTCGTGGCAGCACCTTCTCAACAAACAAAGATAATGAGGAATTATTACGATCGCAGATTGAATCGACCGTCATTTACTCGTCGAATCTTCAAGATTGGGATGGCCGCAACTGGATTCCAAAATATTTTGTATTGACTAGCTCGCGCGTCCTCATCATGTCGCTTGCACTGCATTTGTATGACGAAGAGCCCGACATTCTCGGATCTTTTGCTACAAAAGATATTGTCGAAGTTCGTGCGTGTAATGAGAGCGAAGAAGCCGAGACTGGCCGCTGCAAATCTGCTTTCGTTGTAATGTTACGGCCACGGTCAAATGCTGCTGGCCCTGACCGCATGGTCGTCAAATGTGATTCGATCGGTACGTCTCAGTAATTTAATAGGCCAAGTGAAGACGTTAAAATTATTTTTGTTCAATGTACTAGATCATTGCTTGGAGTGGATGCGACTTTTATGCAGCAGTAATGGCAAGCTCGAGCTAAAAAAGAATGCGGCTACGGGCAACTGGGGCAGTGTGAACCGTATTGCATCACTTTCGCGTCACCAGAGCTTTCTGGCGACGGCGCCGCTGTCAGCAGCCATCGCCGCTGCCAATTCAACCTCTGGAACATCAAATCATGCGCGCAGAATGACACGACAGGATGCAGCACGAAAGTACGTACAAAATGTTTTGATGTCTATTGTACTGTGGCTAAAGTCTGTAATGACAGGCGCACATCTGAGCTCATTATGAATCGCAAGAGCATGATGGGAATGTGAGGAACATGACATTACGTTGATTCTTTAAAATATGTGCAATTATACCGTATCCGTCAACCTCTAATTAAAATACGCAACTGGCGCCCCATAAGTGACCCGATAAACTACTTTATTGATCAAAAGTCAGCACTCGCTGTGGACGTGCTATGAGGTTCGCCATCGGTTAATACGAAGCTGGACGCTCGAGACAATTTCATATGTAGCTCTGCGGGTGGTGATATTCGAGGCACAGGTGCTGATCCCTTTCTGTTAAACGAAGACAATTGCTCGCCGTTACCTTGTGATGTTGACGAGGGCGAGGCAGTCGAGTGGCAATCCACAGAACCCACGACAATGGGCTTGTATTCAAGACTGTAGTCATTACTTCTCCAGGATGTCCAGCTATTGCCGCGACGAGCAGCGCGATTTATCTCTTTGATATCTTTAGCCGTAAATTGCAGTAATGTCGTAAGAACTGGCACCAATCGCGCTTGCTCGGAGGTTCCAGGACGAAAAGACATGTACTGAACAACCACATTCTTCAAGTACTCCATATTGACACCGTCTCGTCGCTGGTTCTGCAGCATCACTGTCAGCTCCTCTGCACGTCGACGCTTATCTTCACGAAGTTCCTGGATCTGATGATGTGCTTCTTCAAGCTGCTGAAAGAGAGCCTGCAATTGTGCTGCTTGTTCTCGTTGTTCGACCTCGCGTTTGGCTTGTAATTGGGCTAGTTCTACAATTTTCCGATTGTCTGCACCACCTGAGCGAACATCCTCTTCTACTTCATGAAGACGTGCACTCAGACGTAGAATCTCCTTTTCTTTTTCCATCACGGCTTGCAACGCTAACCTCGACTTGTTTTTACTTTCTGATTCGAGACGGTCGAGCTCGCGGCGAAATTTGTTTTTTTCACTCTCTACTGCAGCTTGCAGCGCTAACTGAGACTCCTCACGCTCCTGTTGGAAACTCGCTCCTTGCTCCAGCATCTCGCGCTGAACATTGCCAAGATCATGCCTTAGTGCAGTCTCCCTCTTTTTCATGCTTTCCAAATCTGCCTTGACAGCTTGAACTTGGTTTTCCATTTCCTGCTGAGTAGCCTTACTCTTCGCAACATCGCGCATCGCACTTTCAATCAGGGCCACCTGCTCGGCCAACTTCCCAGCCATGCCCATGTTTTCTGTTTGCAATCTCGTGGCAAGTGCCATACGATCAGAAAGCGACTTTTTCGTTTCTGCTATATCCGAACTCAAACTGTCTACTTGAAGAGTTTTCTCCCTCAAAGAAGAGTCAAGTTCCTCTACATGCTTACGTGTGGCCTCGAGCTCACGCTCCAACGTCTTGCAACGAACCCGAAGTTCCTCATTTTCTTTACAAAGCTCTGTTTTTGTTGCTAGTAGTGTACGCCGCTCAGCGTGAACGCGTTCTAGTTCGCCTTCCTTTTCTTTGCGCAGCATCTCGAAATTTTCGTGATGCCGGTCGCGTATTTCGTCTAATCGAGTCCTCAGCTCTGCCACTTCTTTCTCACTCTCTATAGAGCGACGCTCGTACTCTTCGGCCTTCGTTGCATGCGCTTCAAGGCTATCAGCAGCCATCGCGAGATCTTCACGCATGCTATTCGCCTGTTTTTGTAGATCCATGAGCTCGGATGTCATGGATGTGTGAGATGTGGACATCCTCAAAATTTGCTTTTTCTTTTCCTCGAGCTCTGCTTCGAGTGTCTCTGTCTTGCGCTTTGCTGTGTCACTTGCTGTGATAAGATTTTCAAGCTTTGATGTCCAATATGCTCGCTCTTCCTCCATCTGCTTCTCAAGTGCTGCCTTTGCCTCGTGTGCCAGATCGTTCTGCTCTTCGAGTTTAAGCTTTGCTTCACTTAAAGCAGCAATCTCATCTTTCAAGGCAATCTGCTTCTTCTCGAACTGAGTAACCTGGTCAGTTAAGCGATCTGTATCTCGCTTAAGCTCATCCACTAGCGCCCGTGCGATATCATATTTGTTGCTTGCCTCCGATCGATTGTCTTCAGCAACGCTAAGCTTTTTCTGTATCGACTGCCTTTCGCGCATGCTTTCGGCCAATTCCGATCTTACACGCTCCAGCTCTTGCATCAATGAAGCGCTTTCTCTTCCATCCTGTACCTTTACCTTTTGTATGGTATCCTCCTGAGCATTTAGTAATTCCTTAAATTGCACGACTTCTTGTTGTAGAGCTTTAAAGCTATTGTTTTTTGCATCAAGCAGTCCTTTTAATTGGTCGATCTCGGCTTGTAAAGTATTTTCTGCCACCTCAATGGTGTCCATTTCTGTTCCTGAGGGAAGTGACGCTGCTGTCTGTTGCAAATGTTCCAGTTGATCATTAAGACGCGAGTTCTCCGCCTGAAGAGCCTTTAGTTCCACTTCTACTTCCTTTTTCGAATCAAGATCCGACATTTCAGCTTTTAAGTTTGCCACTGTCTGCTGTAGTTCTTGAAGTTTGCTTTGCAAGTGTTTATTTTCGACTTTCGCAGCGTCCAGCTCAGCTTGTTGTGCCCCTAAAGCAGCTACCACCATTGTTTTCGCATGAGCTTCGGATATTAAAGCTTGATTCGTACAATTGAGCGGTGTACTGTTCGTCTTGTTGTCTGCGTGCTTAGCTATCACATCATGTGCTTGGCTCTCCAGAGTAGCCGAAGAGGTTTGCAGGAATTCTGACTGATCCTCAAGTTCTGCATCATCAGCCCTTGCCACTTCCGTCACAATTTGTGTTTCACCCTCCGCTTCCATGTGTTTAATTCCTAGCTTCTCTTGCTCTTTTGATAAGACAGCAGCTTCTGCTCGGTGTAAACGGTCCATTAGCTCCCTCTTTTCCTGTTTCATGATTTCAAGTGTTGCTGCTTCCTCTTTCTGAACTTCTTCTCTCTGCTTATCACTTGCTTCTAACTCGACTGAAATGTTCCGCAACTTCGTTTCTAGCTCCTCAAGCTGTTTCGTCTTTTCACAATTATCTGCAACCTGCTTTTTCCATTTTGATTCCCATTCGAGCTCTTTTTCTTCCATCTCTCTCTTTTTTTCAGCCAAAACTTGCATAACTTGTTCCTGCTGCTCAATCCTTTCTTGCAATTTCTGCTCCAAATCCTGCGTATACTGTGCACTCTGCTTTAGTTGTTCTCGCATCCTTTCAACCTGCTGCATGGCCTCGTCCATCTGAGCATCGTCGTACGGAACATCGCGATTTTCTCCCGCCAGTAAATCGATCTCTTCGTATTTCTTGACAGGTGACAGGTCCAGCAAGTTCACGCTTTCCACACATGTCTGACCCTTGTCTTCACCTTCATGCTCTACTTTAGCCAGCGTACGATACTTAGTCTTCAGTGCGTCGACATCGATTGAGCCCCTGGTAGTACTATCTGTTCGGGTGCACGCAGTTACGTCAACTCCAAGCTCGAGCTCCAGGAAGCTTCGTAAGGCCTGTATATCCAATTCGTGTCTGCTAGCAGCTGCTAACTTGGTCTGAGTTTTCTGATGCTGCAACTTCATGAGCTTATTCTGTCGTGTAAGCTTCATACTCAGCGCTAGTAGCTCCTCATACGTCATACGGCTAGAAGTAGTTCCTTCTTCCTCGGCAGTAGAAAGAGTGGAATCAGCCTCACTATTCTCAAGGGATGCGTTGGATTTTGCAGTGCGAAGGAAGTGCAGCCCCTTGGAGAGCCCTCCACGTCCAAGCTCGCGCATTTGCTCGAGCTTCTCCTTTTTCTTAAGCATCGGCGTCTTATGAGTCAATCGGGGGTGAAAAAAACTACAATAAAAATTTAAGTGATTTTTATACCAGAAATATCATTATGATGATCACCACCAATAATCGTCGACTTCTAGGATTGTTCTATATAAATCTTCTCTATGGGCACTTGCTGGCAATAATATCATTGCACTCAACAAAGCAAGTACTAGTCTGTTGCAAATTTAGTCGTACAGAGGACGTGATATGGCAATTGGACGTCTGCAGCACACACTTGCGAACAGTCTGATCAAATGAGCTATAGACAAACGTGTCTTGGACCCGATATAATTCCATATCTGGAATGCTATATTGGAAAGCAGTGTGTGCAAGCAGACCCACGAGGATCGAGGCCATAGGTTTCGCTCAGTGCTACGAACCTTACAGGTTTGTCAAGAAGAAGTTTGGCTTGACCAATTACTCGCATAAATACCGTGCAAGTCACGCCGGCGTCGCACGGTGCCTCGTTAATAAGGCATCAAATGACGATGATGGCGGCAAAAGACGTATTATTCTAGGTTTCAAAATGCCTCATAATTCCCGATTCTTAATAGGGCTGGCCAATTTATGATGTCGGTTATGGCTTTTGTCATTGGCTATACATTTTAATTGTTGATGACGATGGGCATGAACACGTCATTATGATTGTCTTTCGAGCGGCACAGACGAACATCCCCCTGACGAGGAGCTACTATCGATGGAGTTTGCTCTTACTTCGCTCAGGGCACAGCTGCTTGGCTCGTAATCTTTTGTGATCTGTCTAGTCAATGCGTCTATGTGCACAGCAATATCGTCGCCACATAATGCCAAAATGTCTGTTCTTCTACGTCGAGTACACCTTATAAAAAGGGTGGGCGGAGTTGAGTGGTGGATGCGCTATTGCATCGCCAAAAGAGCTGTCGTATCACTATGGCAACGTTGCGATCGCTGAGGGAATAAGTACGGCGCTCGAGACAGAAGCAGCATCTTACAAGGTAAGTGCTAAGGTATTGTCTACTTATCTTTTACAAGTTTGATACAATTCAATCAAATATAGACTAGATTGTACAGATTTCGCAAAACACTTCGGTATAGTTAAGAAAGAAGTATCGATGTTTATAAAAAAGAAAAAAACTTCGGAAAGGAGGATCTCTTCGTAAATGTGTGCTGCTAGCCGTACGTCAGAAAATAAAAGTTCTTAGGAGAATTGTCAGCATAAATACATATGCATTCCTGAAATATCAGAGCCAACTATATAAGTAGTTACGGTAGAGGCTCTTGGTTGACTCAACCTTTTCGCGTCTGTTAGCGCGGATATTCAGAGTCAAATTATCCTCTGTGCAAATTACGAGGCAGATCCGTTGCTCCTTGTAGCACTTGTTGACAGTATTACAACCGATTCGGGAAATGATTGTACCTCCACCGCGAGGATAGAATATGAAATGATCGGGTACCTGCCTTCAAGACAAGCAGACCTGCTTGACAACTGGATGTCTATTGTTGGTCCCTAATAAGTTCAGCGAACTGGCTGCGAAAAGGTCGGAAGCGGTGATCGCTCGCCTGTCATCGAAAATGCGCTTGAAGGAATATTCAAGAGCGCCCCAGCAAGATCCGGGTGGGGAACAAAAGGTACCTCGCATTTATTGTGATGGTGAACGCGGAAGTAGTCGCACCCCCTCGTCATTTCTATCTTTTGTTAATAAATGGAAGAGAACTTCGAATGTACCCAATATGCCTGCTCAGATGGTACAAACGACCTCTACATCTGTCGTTTCATTTTTTATCCTGAAACACCTCATTAAGACCCTCTTATTGCACGTTAATGTCCAATTTCTTACGCGCTCTTGTAGCTTCAAAACTGGACGCGCAACGCTGTCGCTTCTTTTAAAGTATGTCCGCACCATCCGCTCTTTTATATAGAATACGCGATTTTCTGAATGCCTTGAAATATATGGACGCCCAAGGAGTTCTATGTGGAGGGACACTACTACTATGTACCTTGTTAGACCGCGCAGATGTTTCGTATGCGCCAGCACACAACACATATGCCTCAGAACCCCCCCCTTCTCTGTTGGTCGAGCGGCTCGATCCCTCACACACGGTCTACCAATGAACCCCTCGAGAAAAATGTCGAGTCCCACTAGGCGCAGGGCGTCCTACTGGGGAGGAACTGGGCTTAAGCGTACCTCGTGGTCATCATAATCAGTGGGAGCCAGCTTTCGAAGAAGCGACTCTTTAAAAAAAGGGTGGACTCGCAGCTATGGTTGCTGGATCAATGTCCCGGGTCGTTCAAATTGTGGGCAATCGTGACAGATTCTAAAGCATGATGTAACTACGCTCACCATACGACTGTCCAAAGCAGTAGAAGTACGCGGGTGCATTGAAGATGTTAAATAGCATACAATATCCCTGCGTCCTCTGATAAGGATACCGGTGAATATATTAAGGGTTGCGTCGAGCCCCTAAGAGAGTTTGTAAACTTTGCTAGTGTCATACGCTTTCTAGTTTTGGGCTTAGATCTAAGAAAATCTCATCCAAGCTATGGTGTGATTAGAATTGCGCGATTTATGGGCCGAGTGCCGTTCGAATAGTCAGTAGTCACGTACTATCTCCTCGTGAAGCTTTGGCGAATTATTGATTTGCGCATACGATAAGTTGGGACATTCTCCATACAAAACACATGATTGTTCGGAAGTGACAGCAATGATGCTACCAGACGCTTCAATCAGAGCTCTGAAGGCAGAGGCTGTAAGCCGAGGTCTCAGGACGAGACAGAAAAGAGGTTTTGTACATCGCGGCCCACCGAGTAAATATCTGTTGAGACGGGAATGAACTACTGTATATCGTGGTATCCATAGTTGATCTCTGGTGAACGGTAAGGAACAGCTGTGGACTGTTGCCTCCTGTTAAAGACGTTAGATAATGGAAGCTTCTTAGTGTTGTAATCCCTTAAGACAGTACCGGTGGGGTTTGATGGATGATTGCATGTCGCGAGTAGCAGATTCAGGCCCTGAAGCTTAGAAATAGACAAGTCTTGCCATGATGCACTTGGTCTGTTGAAGTAGCACAACTGCGTGACGGACCCAGCATGCAGATCAGTGAAGGTTCACGATAAATATTGAGAAGAATTTGATCGGGGTTGTCCTAGGGGATTTAGCTCTACCTTAACTTTCTTCGGCAGAATGTATTATATTGCTAAAAGAATCAGCCCTCAAGGATATGCGCAAGGAGCTACAAGACAGTGAAGTCAGCGAAATGGTGCGGATTGTACTGAAACAATGCTGAGCTTGCCATCCGTCAAGATCGATTATGTCATGAAGGAACTCAGTACGAGGAGTGGGATAGCTATCGTGAAAAATCTCACGGGTTCTTTTGACGATGCGATGAAGAGGGTTTCACAACGCACGTTGCGTTGATATTGACTTTAAACCCAAATATTGTATCACACAGCAATGTCGCTTACTAAGAGAGTGTAATCTATTCGGCGCTATTTTTGCCTGGAGCACGAAGCGGATCAGCGAAAGAGTGTATATTCAGATAGCGCCAGCATTCTGTGTCAGAGAGGCTGTCAGCAAGTGACGTATCGTGTAAGCTAATTGCCGCTACGCTTCTAGCGAAGACGTGGAGTCTTAGAAAAGATGTGCTGCAAGCCAGCATACCGACTGCACTTTGTTTCAGCTGCAGCGCAGCTGCCATAGCTCTTTCGCTTAGATGAAGATTGGTTAATGTCGGTGATATCTTCGTTCTATACTTGGAGCCAGTACGAGTGTAGCGGATTGCAACCCTCAAACTCCAAGAGTAATAACAACCCTAAGCCAAGGCTAATTAAATATTCCGCCTCGAACGTTAGCTGTATTTCTCGGTTTTGCTTGCGGCAAAGCCAACTATATCTAAATCTAAAGGCGTTCATATCTTCATAGTAAAACCTGATTGAATTTATAACTACTGGCTGTCAAGCCACGTACTGACACTTTATTTCAATGCATCCATACCATTGTGTGTGAACACACTATCTTGTGTGACCCACATCCTTTATATCAGGGCACGTGACACCCCGTCATCACTACTGGCAGTCAAGCCACGTACTGACTTCTTGTTTAAGTGTATCCAGGTCACACCATCTTGTGTGATCTCGTTACACATGGCATGCAGCGACTGCTACGATGCTTGAAAGCGCTCAGTGGGTTACGTGCCACTCCACGTCAGCCCGCGAGCCAGTTATTCGGGACTCTCGCTTAATACACCTTCGGTGTTCACCAACTCGGATACTCCGATCTCTAGCACGTTGACCGTTTCGGACCAGTGCCCGCGGCAACACCGAGCAGCGTTCCACGGTATCAAAGTCAAGAACCTTGACACTGAGATCCACGGGGACCTTCGGCACCGTGACACATGCCCCCGTCGCAAAGCAAATAGTGATGATGTCACTCAACCGCGCATCCAGCGCCTCAACTTACAGCTGACTTCCTTCGTTTGTGGAGAGTCGAGCATTATTGCTCGACGCCCCGAAATCGATTAGGATTTCCATGGCTTCTCAAAGCTCATCATGGTCGCTTTTACGACCAGCAAGCCCGGCTTGCATACAATTTTCGTGATGAAGAGCACGGAGCTTCTCGGGACTGGGCCCTACAGTCCTCATCCACTTTGAACTTGGGTTTTTCCCGGTAGGTCGCCCCGCGCCTACTGAGTGTTGTCGTTCCCCTGCGACAATCCAGACTGGTGCGTCGGTTCAATTAACTTTGACGGGTCATGCGCGAGGGACAACCAGTCCGAAGGTGGCGGGTGTCTCCACAGACAAAACATCATCGACTGTTTAAACGCTGGTCGGCAGCTCGGAGCTCCCCCCCTCTTTCTCGGCATAGCTGAGAACCATTGGCCCAGGCCCGCTTGTCGAGCTCTGAGGGTTTGCGTTCCAACCAAGTTGTGCCGACTTAGAGTTGAAATAAGCATTCAGTGCCACATTCACCGCTTCTTCAAAAGAAGACGAATGCACACGGAAGACTTCCAATCCGGCCACGCCAGTGCGGAGGTCCTCCATAAGTACCACTGTGGCCATCTCGTGGAGAGGATCGGCTGCCACCCCGGCAATGTGCGTACGCAACTCTTGAACAAAGTCTACCAGTCTTTCTTGCCCTGTTGGGCGGCAAAGAAACGCGATCGCACGCTATATACCTGGTTATGCGGCAAGAACACTCGTTAATGCTGCAGCTTCAGCTCCGTTTAAGAGGAAACACCGCTCAACCGATGTGCCGCACGTCAGTGCACATTCCCGCGCTCGACCCCGAGCTTGGAGATAGCTAGCGCCACGCGCTGTTACTCGTTCTAAGGCATGGCGGACGCCATAATTTTCTCGACCTCTCTCACTCAGAGCAGGAGATCCTCTCCATCATTTCCCTCGAAAATTTTAACGCTGATCATGGGCGGCCTGGGTCGAGAGGAGTTATCCGTCGTCGACGGTGATGTCATGGACGCAGTCGTCGCCGACATCTTCTGCTCTATGGGCTCTAGCAGAGCATTTTCATAGCTTGAAAACGCCTCGAGGCACGCGATCATCGCTTCTGGTCCTTGCGAAGCAAGGTGTCGCACTCTATCAGGGCCAACCAGAGACATCAGCTTTTTAAACCTGTCATGCATGCCCTAAGGCAACGAGGAGAATCGTTCCATCATCTCAGAGGACAGTTGTAACGACTCAGGTGTAGATTGACTCCAAGTGCTACCAAGTGCAGCGGGGTTGCCGTACCTCTTTCGCTTGGATCAAGCTAGGTTAAGATTGGTGACCTTCGTTCTATACTTAGAATCAGTACGAGTGTAGCGGATCGCAATCTGCTGCCCTCGCGAGTAATGACAACCTTTAACCAAGACTACATTCAAAACGTACTTTGTATTTCTCGACTTTATTTGCTGCACAGCCGCCTATATCTAAATCCCTATCTATACAGTAAAACCTAATTAATTATATAGCTACTGGCAGTCAAGCCACGTACTGACTGGGGGGGGAGTTAAGGCTATGCCTAACTTAATAGCTGTCAAGTAAGACAGCTGGACTTCTCAAAAGACAAGCTACACTGACTATGATAATCCAAAAGGTCTAAAGTACAATGTTGCGCTATGGCACCGGAT